GGAGGCGCCCCAGGAAAGCGGCCGTTGGGCCTGGGGAGCCTGCGCGTTGCCCCACGCGCGCCTGTCCCGTATGAAACTGCCGCAAGTTGAGCACTTCTTAAAACTTGACTTCAGCTCCGAGCTCGGGCACTCCATTTTTTTTTTCTTTCCATCGCCTTCTTCTCTTGTACTGCCCCCATCTTTATTTTTGTTAAAAGGGATCAATGTTTTACCATTTCTGCAGTCTGGATAACGATAGGTTACGCTTTCAGAGAGTGCGGTATTGAAATGGATATAACACTTTTTTGGTTTTCCTGTCTTATCCTCTTACAAGGTGAAATAGGTGCTGTTCTCTGTGTCCCTCCTTTTGTTTTTCAAGGTGCATATTGCAGAGTACTTACTTCTGTAAGTAATATTTTGCATAAAATCCATTCCTATATATGCCTCCAGCACTGTGATACTTGATTACATCTCTTCTTGTGGGGGAATGTGCCTAGTTAGTTCACTAGCGTTTTGTTTTGTTTTCTCTTACAATAGTCCTTCAGGCAACACCTACGTTTCTGTCATTTTCTTTGAGTTTTTCCAGGTTATTTTTAATCTTGCCAGTAATGTGTTTTCTGTTGTCTTTGGAAAGCGCTTAACCTAATTTCTGCACTGAAAAGCATTTCAACTTCAAGAGTGAGTAGAGAGATGTTTTAGATGATCACTCACAATTTTTTCCCACGTGTTCTTTGGCAGTATCTTTCTGCTGTAAGAGACAGATTCAAGTACCAAGAATAGCCTTTATCTAGGTGGAAGTTTGTCCTCAGGAAGATCAGCCCTGTGAATATAGGGAGTGCATTAGCTGCATATGTAGGTTCAGGAAAAGTGCTTCATGCTGCTCCGTTTCTCCTCCATGTGAAATGTTCACTCATGGCTCTCTTTTTCTGTATTTGTCCTTTACTGCTCGACCAAATTTGGTGTCCTTTGCAAATGTCCTCTGGCTTCTTAGGCTTTGCCACTCCCATCCTCTTTCAAATTGCTAATAGGAATGTTAGAATGGGACCCAAAAATGACCTCCTGGTAACGTGCATTTACTGCCAATCCATTACAGTACTGTTCAGTTTTGTTGCTGGGCTAGTTTTCAGAATGTGGGATGGTCTTAAATCTGAGCAGATTCGAATGCCTTATGAGTGAGGTTCAGAAACAGTACCTGAAATTCTCTGCTAAAGTTAAAATCTTTATTCACATTCTGAATCATTACTGTAATGCAATTTCTAGCATTTGAAACTCCTCAGTATAGCTTGCTTAGTAGTACTACAGTCCACAATTAGTGTTGCTGTGGATAAGTTTTTTGTTTTTTTTTTTTTAAGTTGGTACTTTTGTGTTCAGAAGGTAACAAATGAGTATACATGTATTTGTCTTGTACTCATCTGTTCATTTGTAGCAGTGTAGATGTTAATGAGTGTAACAGTCTATTAGCCTCTCTCCCCCACTCCCCAGTACTTGCGATGAATAATGTGCTTGGATCCAGATATCTGGACTCGTCTTTTCAGATTTGCCTATCAGGGAGGGATTGGCATTTTACCCAGAGTGTTTACTGTGCTGACAGCTTTTCTTTCTTTTCCCTTCTCTGTGTCATAACTGACCCTCTGGATTCTTGTTTGGATGTTTCCTACTTTTCCATTTTTCGCACAGCATTTCTAACTTTTACGCAGATGTAACAACTAGTTGTAAAGAATGCAAGCTGTAATACTGTCTGCTGGTATTCCTTTATCATAAATTAGAGATTTAAATATTTGCTCCTTTGCTGTGTTACAATTTTTATGAAACTTCTGGAAAATAACTGTAGTATCTTTAATGCAATGGTTGACAAGCTAACTGAATTCAAGGTTCTTGCACAGTTATTACTGATGTTCTTAATACAGTTAATGCTAATTAATACTGTTAATAGGAATGTTATTAAGCTACTTTTCTTCCTCCCCTCCCATCCCTTCTACTAAAGTTGCATTATTGGAGACCTGGTAAAAGGAGGTAGTATATGTTAATAGTTAACTTGTTTACTCTTGTGTTAGCGGTTATGCACTAACCTAACAAGGAAAGTTATAGAATCAAAATAGTAATGAGGTAAGGAAAGAAGAATCGTTTAGTTTTCAAAAAAGAATAACGAGATAAGTGTAATGGAAGAGACTAAATATTAGGAATATTCTAATGCAAGGTTATTAAAATGTCTGTATAGTAGTCTCTTAATGAAAGACCTGTTAATTGTGTTGCTTAAAACATGAGGAGATGTAATTCTCTACTTCTTGGGATTTAACGTTTGTTGTTAAGAACCTTGATTATAATTGTTGCCTAGTAACTATCTGTTGTCTCCAATTTTTGTGAACTGTTTGTTGAAGGCTGATGAGGCTCTGGGCCTGAGCATGGAGAGGGTCGTCTTAATCTTTATGCCATCACAGCTCCGCTTCTAATGCTCTCAAGGAATCATTCAGTGAGGCCTTTGGGCTGTCTTAACAAAGCAGTTCCTGCTGCCCTGCTCCT